CGATGGCGGGAAAAGGGGGGGGGAGAAAACGCAAGAGATACATGCGTAAGCCACGGGGAGACGGATCCGAGATATGTGCGCTGATGCAAAAGGGCGGGAGACGAGGCGTTTTTGCGGTTCGTGTGATGGTGATAACACAGATGAGAGAGAAAGACATGGACACGGCGAAAGCGTGGGGGGGAAGGGGGGCCCACCCCCATGGGGGACGTGCCATGGAGGCTAGGCGGCTCCGGAAGGGCTTGGTGGATTCTCTGGTGAAAGGGTGGTGTATTAACTACGTACTTTTCGTGATAAGGGTGTGTGTACCGTAGGTATCGCAGAGCAGCGAAGTAGGGAAAGGTTTCTTCGTACTGGAGCGACCTTGGGGAGGGAGACCTGGAGGGGGTCTGAGGGTGTGGTGTAGACAGATGGTGTGCGCTTGTTTGCGTGTGGCGGTGGTTTTCTTGTTATCTTTGCCCTTTTTGGGAGCATTCAGTGTGTAACACGTACGCCCGTAGCTTTATCTTGGATGATAGGGATTGGATGGCCGCAAGGTGAGCAATTGGCCAATGGGAGTGCTGGAGAAAGAGGCGTGCTCGTCGTACAGAGATACACACACACACACATCAGTCGGTGCGGACAAGAGTCATGGATGCTGTTGTGAATGAGGCCTGGAAGTCTTGAGGGAGCCGCAATGTCCCAGGCAAGCGTCCTGTTGTCTCGATGGCATCGGCGTCGGGCGTGTGGACATCAAAAACCATGCGTTCTTTCCCTGGGGGCGGAGAATGATCGATGGTGTTTACTTATTATTTGGGAGGGGGGACGGTGTGGGTGGAAGGTATGGATGAAGACTCGCCATGACGCCCCTAGGAGTTTTGGGGGGGAAGGGCTTATCTCCCGGATACACTACATTACCTTTGCCTTGGCTTACATCTTGTCTTGGAAATGTCTCCGACTCCCTTGCTTGACGCTTCTCCATGGGGATTCCCACGGGGGGAAGGGGCGGAGAGAACGTGGAGATGGGAGAGAGAGAGCCGGGGGGGGGAAGGGCCGATCCAGGCTCTGGCTTATGGGGGCCAAAGTTCCTCTGCCGCCATGCCGCCGCGGCCGCGCCGCGTGTTCCACCCGTTTGTCGCCTTGTGCGATGTCTGATTGTGTGTGGTGTGCGAGACTTTTGTATGGTTTTGTGCAACCAAACTCGAGGGGGTGAAATAAGGATGTGTGCGTATGTGTGACAAATTCCATCATCGTAAGGGATGCTGTTGGAATTCTGCGCGGATATGAATTTCTGCCCTGAGCAGAGAGACTCAAAGAGTCAAGATTGACGACATGCGTGTTTGCGTTGTTCATCAGCCTCCCTGTTGTTTCTCTTGCTGCTTCAGCCACGCCTGGGTGACAGAGGACTCTCCCCGAGTAGTTGATTTGGCAAAGTTTCTACGGTGCATGTGTGGTCGTCGTCTCTCTCGTAGCATCAACCGAGGGCCCGGGCCGCGGAAGCAGCAGCCCATAGACACTTGCAGATCGAAGACGTTCCTCGCAGATCGAAGACGTCCCTCATGTTGCTTCCGATAGTAGCTGGACTTGGTTCGGTGACGACATACGCGTTTGCACATGTTTCCCAAGTCATGTTTTCCAGGTGTCATATGGGGACCCTTTGATCGAAAATTGTTAGCGACACCGACAGTCTCGGGCAGATTCTGCTCACCTGTGGTCGAAAGAACCCTGCAAGCTTCACATCGAGGTTGTTAGAAGTATCGCTACTGACTCGAGGCTAACGCTCTTGCCGCCGCGCGGGCGGAACGGTTGCATAGGATCACCGGGATGCTGAACTGTACGAGATGGGGGGCTCTCTGATGAGAGTGAGCAACCGCAGCTAAATGCGATGGAGCCTCCTTGAAACTCATGTGATCGAGGGCTTGATTCTTATCAATGGAGATGATGGAATCCCGAGCGCGAGGCTGCGTTGGTCGGTAGTACTAGGACGTATCTTGACATCTTGTTGGACAATTGCAGCCCGGATTACAGCAATGATGTTAGTCCAGGCCCGTCACTTCAGAAGGCGAGCCAGACACTCTTCACCATTCCAAGTCAGGAGTCTGATGATTGAATATCGCGAGAGTTACTTCACAGTACCTCTTGGACAAGCAGTTTTGTGACTGTATAATGCTACCATAGTACTAATCTCCAAATCAACCCGGCTACGTATGAGACGCCGAGTTCAAACATACATGTCTTCGGCGGCCCGGGCTCTTTCTCTGCGACATTTGACCTTGTTTCGGGCGCGAATCCTTGAGTATCAATAGTATGTCGGTGAGTTGGCGGACCCCTACACTTGTATTCAGACACGCCCGTCTGGGCAACAGTCCACATGTATATCCGGGTATTTACGTATTTGGACGACATCAAGCGAGAAGGTTACGAGGACCAATACGGAATTTGCTTGAAGACGCCGGTGGTGATATTGCGGCAACTGAGGGCAATTGCTAGGCCCAAAGAAACATTTGATTCAACCGAGACCTGCTGTGGTTTCGTAGATGTTTGTTGTAGTAGCAATGCTCTTCTCACGACACTTTGTCCACTCGACCATCTTATATCGTTAATCTTCTTATTTCAATGTTGAAAGCCAGACATGTTCAATGCTGATACTATATTCTGGCTAGAAGATGTAGCTGACAGTGTGGTTTAAAGCCATCGATTTCTCTTACAGACGGATTTACCAGGCTTCGTGGTGAACAGCATATGAGTAAGCCTAGGAAACACTACGTATACTTACCATAAGTGCTTGAGCAAAATTGCATTATTTTCCATCAGCGAAGACTCTTGTGTCTTGAGTATTTCAATTCTAGAAAGCTCGAGGTCTAGTGTTTTCGGTCAGAATCTCCTCATGCTAAAGCCACAAACTAGGTCGAGTGAGCTTTCACCTCCGGGAGATTACCATTCACCCTGATATAGTAGTCATGGCCCAAACTGAAGGGAACCAATGCCTCAACTCATTGTCTTCTGCCATGCACAAGCGGCAAGAGATGAACTTGAAGCGCGGAAGCCTCAACATAGCTCGGCGGCCGGCTAGTGTAGCCTCGGACCCTGGACCGCTCGCTGAAGCCCGGTATAGGTGTGAATATGACTTCTCGGCAGTGCCCTCACGATTCCAACGATATGGAGGTGGAAGAACACTGATCGATATTTCTGCCATCGCGCCAGATAGACTGCTGCTCGTTGGAGATGGTACTTGAGACTACTGGTCTGGGATACAGGGTATGTCGAAAATCACGGTGCTGTTGCTTGCTCTAGAGTCGGGGAAAAGAAAAACTGAGCTTCAGCGCCATTTCCTTGAGACCAGAGGACTATACTAAGCTTCGAGGTGTCTACGAGCAAGAATCGAGGTGAAACGAAGATGGATATCCCTCGGAAGGGAGGTAATATGCCATCAATGTAGTTTGCATCGTGCTGTGTCATGAGGAAACTATCTAGCTATGTATTCTATCCACCGAAACAAGTCATCTACAGTACGCTTTTCCAAGACGTGATGATTAGAACCCTAGTCCACTGAAGAGAAGACTCCAAGCTTTTCTCTTCCACCGTTTCTACTTCAAAGGACAAGCGAAAAGACATTTTCGTTAGTAAATCCTTGGTTGCTTTTAGACTTTGCAGCAAAGTACACCAAGCAGAGAGGAGTGTCTGATAGGAAACTCAACGCTTCCACACTAGACAACGTTCCCTTACAAACCGCTCTCTTCGTAGGAGTTTTCTAGTTGTATGATCCTAAGAACCACGAACGGTAGATTAGGGTGGCGATGAGTAAACGAGGTTGAGCGCTATACGCATGATGCTGTTGTAAAGTACACTTGAGCAAATCGTAGGCCGCCGACTGCTTTTCGAGTTCCTTCACATGTGAACTATAGAATACGTCGCGGTGCTGCCGCACTTGAGCGGTGGATTGCAGTCCGCGCGGGGTTTTATGCAGCAAGCGAGTCGAGAGAAGCACGCCGATACAGGCCTTGGACATATACATGGGTGCAGGAAGCCTCACGACGAGGCGGTTAGCGTAGTCCGGCACTGTCTCTATGTCGCTATATATATGGACCAGCATCTTGACAACCTTTCTTCCATCGTCTTTGGCGGTCACGACTACCTTATAAATGTATGCGATTGTACCACCTAGGGCGGTAGCGCAACAGCTGCCACTTTATTGACTTGGTTCAGTTTCCACGGAATCGAGGCAGGAGACGAAGTCATCCCACGGACTGGCGAGAGCCAATGCCAAAAGCATCTCACACTCGGACTTCGCCTTAGAGTGCTCCTTCCTCCCGCCGTCTTCCTCTCTATTCAAGTATTCCTTTCTCAACGCTTCCAAGGAACAAATGAGAGGTCGAGAGCGCTTCCGCGTTTGAAAGGTGCCGAGATATGTAGGCTACTCACAAGCGGAAAGGGAGATATTGGCTTCACAACAAGACAAGTGTGTGCTCGTTAGCTTTTTGACAGTGAACTTCCATGTCGTTTCGTCTCGCTTCGTAAGTCGAGGGCCTCTAACATGTGTATATATAGGAAAACGAACCTGGATGGTTTCGAATATCTCCAAGTACCTCGGTCGACACATTAGTGCTCAAGCAGAAGCCCAGTGAATTTAGAGGAGTATCTCGAGAAAGTTCACATCACATACACATCAGCAGAGATCCACGAGACGAGGGAGCGCCAACGACAAGAGGTCTCTCATCAAGGTAGCGAAACACACACACGCGACTCACAAAAAGAGGGAAAAACCAGTCTCTCAATCAGGGTACTACGTACGAGATGAGATGATGCCACGATCAAGACTCTCTTCAACCGTTACATGTTCCTCAGCAAAGACACCGCCTCTACATAGAGCCCTCCCCACGAAGAGACCCCAATTCTTCAAGACGACATCAAGTGCAACCTTTGTTTTCCCACACCAAAAGAACTCCTCGCCAACCCTGTAGTCTTCCGAGAGTGTATGTGTGTAAATCTAAGCCCGTCAGTCTCCCCATTCATCCCTTACACCCTTAATCATCCTCAATATCATCGTCACTAATGACTAGGTTCTGCACCGCCAAACCAGCCACCGACCCATCGCCCTTGTGCCGGAAAGCAGAGCCCTTCTTCCGCGGCGACGCCTCCTCGGACGGCTTATCAGTAGCCCACGCATCGCCCGTCATGACGCCGTCATTCTCCGGCGCGTCCTCGGCATCCGTTTCCTCGTCGTCGCCCGTCTGCGGACCAATCCCCTGAAAGGAAACAACCTTCTCAAGATCCTTAAGCTTGAAGGAGTGCAGCGTCGACCTGCGCCCGCGGACGATGGAGGCCATGTACGGCAGGCGCTCGAGCAGCATCTCCCTGCGGGCCGAGCTGCCGAGGGATAGCAGCGGCGCCGGTGCCGCGCTCGCGTCCGTCTTTGATAAGGTCTCCCGAGCCGACTTGGGCTTTGACTGGTGATTCGCCATCCAGCTGCCCACATCCGCCTGCTTGGGCCGGCGAAACGCACTGGCGCCCTCGGTGAGGCTCTTTCGCGGCGCGCTTTCTTCCCCCCTCATGAGCTTCGTCGACCAGATATCGACGAGGGCCTCAAACTCCTCCTTTGTCCGCCACAGCTTGAGGCTAGTTGGGTAAAACATCTTGAAGGCGTCCGCGCCCTTGGCACCGGTTGAAGCCTTGCGCTTGACGGGTGAAGGTAAGGAGAAGAGCATGCCACGGACGGCGACGTGGAAGGCAATCTCATCTTGCCGAAGGATATGGCTACCCGAGTCCTTGCCAAAGCTGGAAGAGCCTCTGCCGCCAGAGAAAGAGTCCCATGACGGAAGAAGCAAGTCGCTCTCGGACAGGTACTCTATGCATCCGTTGACGTAATCCAGGGGTGTCGACGCGTCAAGGGGGGGTACATTTTCGCAGGAAAACATGTAGTTCTCGTGGAGAGCCGAAATGAAGGTCTGCGTATCTGTGCCAGTCTCGTCCACCAGCGTGTCGACCATTACCTCTGACGGCTTCGGGCGGGAGTTATGCGCGAGGTAGCTGGGTAAGCGCTCGGCTGGATTCGATGTTGAGGGCGCTTCCTCCCTCTTGTTGTAGACCACTTTTCCAACAGCGTGAAATATGCCAAGACTCGCCTCGCGCTGAGAAATGAGCTCTAGTGTATCTTCTTCTCCTTGGGTAAGAGAGATGCCCGCCTTGGCGCCCTTGGACTGCTTGCTCAAGGCGACTTTGGCTCCCCAATCCGCGTCTTGGTCGCCCTTCAAGCACATGAATTCCAAAGAAGAGATTGCGCTGCGGATGTCCCCTATCTCGCCCAAGCGTTTCAGCACTTGCGGCCCTGGCGTGCGCTTCCTCCCGGATTTGCGTGCTTCTTTCATCACGATCAATTCCAGTGCTTTCGCGAGCAGCGTAGGCGCAACGGCATTGAACTCGATGACCCGTGTCCCAGGGTGCCGCAAAATCTCGGGGCCAAGCAGCCGGTGCGCGGTGAAGCTATCTGCCGATGCTGATGTTGTGGTCAACAGTGTCTCCGAGATGACCAAAACGACTGGCGTGATGGGCTCATTTGCAGGCCGCCGCCCATAGTTTGAAAGTGACGGCATATTCGATGCCAAGTACTCGAGTATCGTGTTTCTGAAGGAGGTCAAGGCTGTGGAAGACCTTGAAAAGGTGTTGGGGAACTCTTCTACGAGTATGATCTTCCCAGGCAAGTCGGGTTTCGCGCTGGCAGGACGCGGTGCCTCGGTTGTCAGATCGGTATCCAGTTGGCCAAACTTCCCGCCTCTGCCCAGGAATTCCTGGAACTGTGCGGAAGCCGATGTGTACCCAAGATGTGCGCCGAGAGCGCCGGTTGGATTCCTCCACTCCAGAAGCTCGTAGCCCATGCCCCTTGCCAGAAGTCGCATAGTGGTGGTCTTCCCCGAACCCGCAGCACCTTTGAGGATCAGGAGCCGCTGGCGCATACGTCCGGCGAGGACGTCCTCCAACCACTTTCTCACGTCTGACACCTTCCTCTTGTGTACCGCCAACTCGTCCAAGTTCAAGGGCCCAAAGCGTTCCGACCACGGTCGCAAGTCGTCGTCGAGAGGTGCCGGCTTATTCGGGCGCGGAGGCTTGAGAAATCTCTGGCTTGACACCAGCGCTGTTGACGACGAGACGGGCGTGTTGTCTCGAAACCGTTTCCGTGCATTCTGCCCGACAATGCTCGAGGTGCTGGCTTTCTGCTCTGCAACATCGTCGTCCTCGGATATCGGGTCGCTTACTATGTCGTCGAGAGGTACCGTCCTCGAGGGAGCAGCTGGCTTTGCGCTGGACTTTGATGCCTGCTTGGAGAACAGTGTCATGAGGTTTCCATTGCGGCCTTTCTCTTCCACCTTGACGCGCTTCGTCGGTCTGCTCTTGGACTTTTCAGGACTGGTACTCGGGCTCTTTGTGCTCTTGTTCGACGAACCATTGCGGGATTGGAATATAGCTGGCGCCGCGGTAGTTCGGCGCTTCTCAGGCAAGCGATTCTGCGGTTTCGTTGGGCTGGGAGATGCGGTCGCGCCTCGTGATTCTGATTTGGAGGGTGATGAGAGGAGGAAATTCGTGAGGGTGTTCGTCTTGGGTCGGTCATCCTCATCATCGGACTCAACGACGTTGCGCCTCCCTCGTTTGGCTGGCGGAGCCATTGGGCGGGACAGTGGTGAAGAAGCTCAACATGAGCGCATGTTCTCTGCAGGTTTGCAGGCCGGCCGACGCGTCGAATTTGTGCTGACGATCTGGGATGTTGAGGCTGTGAATAATCTGCAAGAAATACTGACCAAGCATGCACTTTCCTTTCGGCGGCTAACAATACCTTAACCTGGAAAGCATAGCTGGAGCTGCTGCGTCCTCGTCATCTTGGAGCCGCGCTAATCTGGCCCCCACTTTGCTGCACTTTACAGCGAGTGGACACTAATTCGTCGCTAAACCATCCGGTCTCGCGGTACCTTACCTGACGAGCCCGGAGTGGCCCCGGCCATTTCCGCAGCGGGTTTCCACGTCTCTTGCACCTTACCTTACTTAGGGTACCTAAGTAAAGGTACCTTACCTTGATGAACAACCATATTGGCTGTTATTTCGTCAAGTTCCTGAGATACGTACCTAACTAAGGTAGTGAACGATTTGAATTCAACCCGACATACACGAAGCTGCAAGAAAATCCTACCATCAGCTCCGAGTTGGCATCTGGGTCAAGTGCAGAAGCGGGGAAATTAGCTACACAAATCTGTCTTCATGAATGCAAGCTGCACTTAGATTGCGTACTCTGCTGTTTTCACAAGGGTCTCTATCAAATGGCGAGATTCCTTGCGTGTTTGAGCAGGAAGTCTTTGGATAGATTGGCATTTTCATTACACGTTCAGAATCATTCCCATGCTATGTACCCTGTGTTGTACAGTAAAGCTGATGTAAAGACAGTCGAAGTTAGGCCCGTTTTGTTTGGTCAAGTTATACGTCGAGGGAAAATTCGTTGCCGGTTGCATATTTGTTCCATTGAGCCCGCCCAGATATCGGGCGAGCAGCTCAGTGCGTCCATCCACGGAAGTTGTCAACGAATGTCAGAGCAGACGCTAGGTACCGCTCGTGCACATCACCCCAGGTCCTGGACGCCTCTTTCATGGCGCGGATCGCTGAGACATTGGTCAGTTTCTGCATGCTAGACTTACAAATGAGTTTGCGGACTGACCTTTAACATAGTGAGCGTCAGAAGCCCATTGAGAATTCAGAGCTTCGTGCTCGACATGCCCCCAGTGGCGTTGCTTCAAGTCTGTTTCCACATTGTCGGGGTCGATCTTTGGCCGCAGGAGGGAAATGTAGACCCCGAGTACAAGCAGCCACCACTCCCTTACTAAGCTTACGTGAAACTTGGCCGGAATCACCGGGAGGAGAATTCGGACGGCGTGGCTCGTCGTGAGGAGATGCACAGCGAAGAAGTTGTATCCGTGGGTACCAGGGGGTACGGTTGCAACGAAGAGCGCGACGGCAAGCTCTTGTGACTCTTCAAACTGCTTCACCGGATCCGTGATGGTCCACGCATTCCAGTATTCCAGGACGATGCTTTCATGCTTTGCGAACAAAACATCGAGGTTGCCCAAGGACGGTTCCTTGAACAATCCATCCAGTTGCTTGTCCCCAGCGACTTTGTTGATCAGCTCGAACGTTGACTTGGAGCTGAATGACGACGGCCTCGTATACTTCTTTTCGTCCAGGTATTGGTGGAAGAAGTTGTATTGCGTGGCAGCCAAGGCCAGTGCTTCAATGGCGATCTCCTTGGAGTTCATCTCGTAAGCATATCCGAGGTGGATGAGGGGGTGGCCAACTACGTGAGGGGTTAGCTAGATGTATTTTGTTACTCCACCAGGGAATACGCACGACCACCTATGAGCCCATGGACCAGAGGCTCGTCGCTAGTGAACATGAATTTGTCGACTACCTTCTTCCAGTCGTAGGAGCTGTAGGCCAAAGAGTCCTCAAAGAAGTCAACATATGCCCTCTGGTACGTCTTGTCACCGAGGAGGTCTCTCCAGTCGTCGTCGGTGACCTCGGCGGGAGACTCCTTCCACGGTTCGAGCTCCTTGGATTCGACTTCGTAAATATGTTGGAGCTGACGGTCGGTTGCGCCCAGCAAATAAGCCGATGACAGGACGTGTGCCGTGTGGTTGTCAAACTCGAGGTTGTGGTAGATTATGGAGTGGTTGACGTGGTTGGCCCTCAGCAGGTGCTTGAGGCATCTCGCCCGTCGGTCGTGATCGGTCTCGACATCGTGAACTTCGACAGGAGGAATGTCAATGGTTTGCGCCGTCTCGCCGTCTGAGACAAAGCGGTTGATGATTGGAACATAAGATAGCAGACCGGGCGCCATTTTGGGTTAGAAGCTTCAACTGGTTCCCATTGTTGGAGAGGGAAGAAAGTTTGCGACGCAGCAGCAGATGCAAATTGCCGTTGAAGACATGGCACATGGCGCGACCCGAGAAGCGTTGGGAAAGTGACGTTTGATGGGTTTGACTGGGTGGGGCCATTTACCCAGGCAGGCAAGTGCACGTCCCTTTTGCAGGGACCGTGGGACCGTCCCACCTCACCTCGGCACACTTCACTGTACGGAGTAGGAGTACCTGAAGGTAAAGTGTCCAGCTGCTGGACGTTGGCAACCTCAACCCCGCCATCCCCGGCCGGCTGCCCCGCTATCGGTGGTCCGGGGACGGAACGCTAAACAAGTTATTTCTTCCGAGGGCCGTCTTCGGCACTGTTCCGTCTTTCTGTATCTCGTCTTGCTTAATAATCTGTGCGAGACACAGATACCCTCGATATGGAGTTACTCGGGCTCTACGGTGAATATGCAAGACTGTGGCTGAGACTCTCGAAACCCCACTGAGAGTCTGAACAAATGACAATCTCAAAATTCGTCGTGGCAATCATCATTATCATCAACGAAAAGGTTGATAAAGCGAGTTTACGAGGCTACGAACCAGGATTTCATGTGACGGGGGAACTTTATCACTGGTTACAGCATCGTCCTGAATGACTACAAGTTCAGCGGCACCGCAAAGTTCGCTCGAGGCCCGGGCAATGCGCGGGGGGTGTAGCGGAAGGTAACACGCGTGTGGCATCTTTCCGCACATAAACACAGAGCGTCGTTCAGATGGCTCCTATCAAGGCAACATAAGTAAACACATATTCCCCTACTTCAAAAGGCATTCGTAGGTTGAACCTTGACATGGTCTTCCTCCATGATTCCACACCAGCTTGACAAAGCGAACGCTGTCGAGGTCCTCCCTTGGGTGGATATGGATCGCGCCCATGCTCCAGACTCACAGTCACGCTGTCTGGCGCTTACTGGCCATCTTCAGCTGCGATGCCCGGCTTATGTAACGCTCAACTGCCAATGAACCATCGATCGGTCTTCGCATAAACGGTTGCAATTCTCGGTCAACCATGGGTGTCTGATTGGTATACTAAGGTATTTACGGGGCGGAAGTTGAATTGGCCAATAGCGTGTACAGCTATCACCGAAATCTACAACACCACGTTCGCGATGCATGAACTCGAAGAGCCTCAGCACAAGATGGTCTATAAACTGATTGAGGATGTATCCAAACCCCTCACAAAACTTAGAAACAACACACCCCGGGATCACCTTACAGCCGCAAAATCCTGCAATCCTTGCCAAACACTGGGTCTCTGAAATTGCCCTTGTGCATGACCTATCCACTCATATCGACTTACATGACCGAAATGGAGATTGAGAGTGATATCCACATCTTCTTGGGCACCTACCCGAGGAGGTCGGCAAACATCAAGGCGTCCTTCCATGTCACACCTAGGGTGGCTCGAGGCGGTCAAGTAGTCTTCTCGAATGACGAACAACCTCAAGAGACCTATTTCGAAGAGGCGACCTGGGCCCAGTACCTTGGAGACACCTCCAGCTCTTCAGGTCTCTCCTCAGATGACGGCCGAGCGTCTGAAATGTTCCCTACCTACCCAGCCTCCGTTGGCACCCGCTCCATCACCGACGACTCTTCTTCCGTTCACACCCCGGAGCCTGTAACACCCAACGATGAACCGGCCTCCATTCTCTCCAGCTCTCCATCCTCTCTAGAGGTCCAGCTACCTGGCCAAGGATCCTACAGTGACCTCGGGCGGCTGCGTGGTTACGACGACAAGTTGACTACGCCACACTACGACCCAGCCCAGAACCCTCCTAGATCTCTGACGCTTCAGGTTGATGCTCCTACACGCGTCACTAAGAAGTCTGCCGCTTCCAGGCCACGGGTCGTCAAAGATGTCAAAAAGGTGAACCAAGTCAGAGGAACTGGAGCCTGCCTCAAATGCCGAATCCAGAAGGTACCTTGCTTAGTTACCGATCCATGCGAAACATGCACGAAATTCAGCATCAAAGAAAACATGAACTCTTCCGAGGTCTACTGTATCCGGGGAGATTTGAGCACCGTTGCCAAGGAATTTTCCTCCAGGAGGTGTAAGTATTTGGAACCTTCCATTGTTGCATGCGAAATCCTGACCGGTCCTAGTTGCTTGCTTGGCTCAGAAGGAAGATCGTGCTGTCAATGATACATTGAGACAAGCAAGCCCCGAGTTCCGAGGGCCGATCTTCTACGGACGAATTCTGTTCGAGCGGGATAACACCAAAGCTTCGATCCCGGCAGCCTTGAGGAACTACTCTTGCACGGCACCCAACCACGGTGGTTGCACCTTTTCGAGGGACCATCCCAATCCGGCATTGGTGCAAGAGGAACTCGTCAAATGGGCCGAACTCCAAGTCTCGTCAGAAGACCACAGAACATTCGAAGGCGGCATTGAATCATTCATCAAGCTCTACTCAAAACCTTTCCAATGCGACCGCTTCAGCGTCAGTCACCGTCCTCAGGTACGAACGGATTTTTTGCATGAACTCTGCGGAGAGACATCCGAAAGGAGAATGTCCACCACTAACTGCTTTCAGATTCAACTTTTGCAAAAAGTGCATACCTTTAAATCAATGTACAAAGTCTATCGGACACCTAATTTCTACTTTGCGCCGTCAAACAACGGTCCAGTAACCGAACTATCATTCTCTGCGCAAGCCCAGATCCGCGGTGTCGCCAAGTACGCTCTAGAAGCATCTGAACGAGATGTTCTCGCCGAGTTAGACAAGTATTTAAAGTCAAAGATTGAGAATCATGAAAGACCGGCTGTTTGGGCAGCGTTATGGCAGATGATGCTCGTCTATCGAGACTTGCTGAAGAACATAAGGTCGTGGCATACCGCCAACAACGCCGAGTCTCTTCTTAACGCCGTGGCGGTCTTCTACGGAAGCTCTTTCCGCACCTCGGCGGCGCTCAAAATGTCTTTGGACAAGACCCATCATGGAGAGATTGCTCAGTCGTTTGAATATGCCTTGGGCCTCCGCGATACTTTCTGTGAGTGCCATAGACTGCTGATAACCCGAGGTCAGCGATGCTAACCTCCACCAGATCGACAGATCACTGCAGAGGTTGACATTATTGATCACCGCCTCAAGGCCCTAGTTGTAGACCCAGAAATGAAGGTTCTCAAACGAAGGCAAACCAAAAAGCCGGCCAATGGTAAACGCTCTGGTGCTGACGAACACGACGACGAAGATGATGTTATGGGAGGTTGCTGAAATACCTTTGGTTTTTTTTGTTATCAAGCGGTGGGACTGTTTCCTTGGATCAGAACAGCAGATGGAACACGAATTAGGAAGCGAAGCTATGCCAAAATGCCATCACTTCTGTGTCTTGATCGGTCTGAAGGGGGACGTTGACGGACATTCTGCATTCCAGATTCCAGGACCCAGGAATGGTCATGAGCTCGAGATCCGTCCGAGTCGACCTACACATTAAATCCCAATCAAGAGCTCATGTGCGGACTCACTGTTGTGCGAGAACCTGGCTGGAGTTTCTGGAACCTGGAAAGACAGCAACATTGGTATTGTTTGGTATGCACACAAAGACAAGACACGACGAACTTAGCTCTGATCTGTGACGGAACCAACGGCATCAAGGAACACCCTCCCTTTTGCGCGGGAAGCCCGCAACACTTGACCGAGGGAACGTAGACACCATAATGTCGGACTTCGCGACACTGGAGGGTAGCTTGACGAGCTCCGCGTATAATTTGATTTTGAACTATCATGTACTCGTCAACTCCATTGTCATTCGAGTTTGGAAACGAAAATCGAGTAAAGCACTCACCCGATGGCATCATCAAACAATCCCTATCAGAAACTCGACGTTGACGAGCGAGCGAAGCGGGTTCTGCTCAAGACGCCGCTCATCGACGGCCACAACGATCTACCTCAGCGACCACGGGGATGTTTTCATGGCAAGATTCGCAACAACCCCAGATTCGATTTCGCAAATGGATTCAAGAGAGAGGGATTACGGATATCCCCCGATTGAGGGAGGGTGAGTTGCACTATACCCTGTCATAGTTGAGTCGACTTACACGAAGTAAAGCTGCCGTCGGTGGACAATTCTGGTCCACCTGCGTCCCCTGCCCGAGGCGTCCTTGTTGAGTCGTATCCGGAGACTTTTGAGTTGGTGAATGGACCGAATTATGTAAAGGGAATATACGAATCTGGAAACATTGCTCGATTGGTATTGAAGGGTATATGCTCATTCTGGGTGTTAAACAGACTTGAAGATGCTGTGACTCCTGAGGCTGATTCTGCTAGTGTACTCTCACTCATGTTTGCAAACGCTTTCGCCGATAGCTCAACATCCAAAGTCAGCGGTGTCCACGCCCGACTCTCCAAACGAGGCCAAGCGTAAGTTGAGATGAACCGTCTGGGTGAGTTCGTCACTCCGCAGTCGTCCCATGAGTGGCAGCAAGATTCGAGTAAACTGGATGAGATCCACCGTCACGCGCCTCTGTAATTCATCGCAGTCCATGTCGTAGCAGCTTGACCTCACGCTGTTCAAAGCCCCTGCAACGAATGGCTGCGGGCCCAAAGCTTGACGCTCGCAGCAACCATCCCCAAAGACACCAAGACTTTCCGGACCTGACGTCGGCGAAACTGATCCAATTTGTTATCCTCAACCTCAAGAGTGGTGATACCAGCGATGCTAGCACTGCCAACGCAACACCTGGGCGGACTTCGTTGTCATATGCCCACCAGCTTCACCTTGCTTTGACTGCGTCTCGCTTGGTTTTGACTAAAGATCATCAAAAAGATGACCAAGAGATCGTGAGGGGCCCCCAAAGAAACGTCTCCATGGGAGGCGCGACACTCTCTTGGACTGTCCACATCCGCCGTCACCACTGGCATTTCACCGGCACTTCACCAGGCTTCGAGTAGCAAAGATTGATCTCCCTGAAAGCTTCACCCGTCGAATACCCGTCCTCTGCTCGTTCGGCATCGTCTACTAATTCGCGACAAAGTCCAAACCGCAGCAAGCATCAATCAAACGTAGACTCCCGTCAATAGGGCAATCTCGCCCAGCCAGATGAGATAATGACTTCATTTACTGTAAATGTCAAACCATCATGTCGACCTGCACCCGCTTCTCCTCGGTGTCGTCCTGGTTGATTCACATCCGCGTCGACTCACAGAGTGATGTGGTCCCGCTCGGATCTGATACGACGCAGAGCTGGAAAAAAAAGGGGGGGAGCGGTGATTCTCATCCTCCCATGATGATTGAACCATTCCAGGACAGCTCGATATCATTCAATTCAGATACTCTCTTGTCACGGGGCAAGGCCTCGCTGCAAGAGGAATGGTGCACCATTGCAGATGATGCTGCAGAGGAAGAGAATAACGTGCATCCCTGTGTAATCCATGCGCTAATCAGGACCTGCTTTTTACAATGTAAGGGTGATTATGTTGCCTACGATTAGGTGAATGAGAAAGACGCTCATGGCTGTAGAGCAGTGTATCAAACATTACGAGGTTGATGTCCAGAGTGTGGTGAAGCACAGAAACTACCCTCCTGCGGTACCAGTTCTCGAGCCGAATCTCCATGGCAGTAGCCAACCCCCTTTCTGAGCATAACCGAAAAGTAAATCAACAACCACACAAGCAGACTCAGATCCCCTACACGATGAATCACTCATACAAGAAACCGGGAATTCAACGAGGACCAAAATAAGGTGAAGTGACGATGGAGAAGGGGGGGTATCTTTATAAGATTCATCGACTCGTCAAAAACCCAAAAAAGGAAGAACTTGTAAGTACTACTTCATTTCCACAATCTTGACAGAAACCTTCTTATCGGGCTTCGTCCCGTCCTTGCGCTTCTTGCCAACGTTTGACAACCGGCCCATGACATCGGCGGGATCGATACCCACGGCCGCGCCGGGGGCCACGTGGACAGTTAAATCGATGCTCGCCCGCTTCTTCGTGGGGTCCGTCGTCTGCGTAGCTTCGAATCTGTTTAATTCGCATTAGTCTTCATCCATTCGTGGTCGTGGGAAAAAACCCCAGCAGCGAGCACCTTGCACTTTGTTTCAAAAAGTTGACAGAGACACAACCGGAGGAAGCCAAAAAAAAAAAAAAAAAAAAGAAAGAAATAACATACCTCAAAGTCGACTCGAGCTCCTCGACGCTCTGGGGCCACGCCGGCACAAGATCAACCATGATAGCCGCCACGGCGCCCAGGTACTCGGCCCAAAACACGCTCTCCGACTTGGCCTCGGCGACGAGACCCCTCAGGTTCTCATACAGCTGCGCGTCAATCGGCCCCAGGTTCGACCCCCACCGCGCGCACACCGTCAGGCCCAGCACCGCCCTCGCGAGGTGCGTCAGCCCCGGCGCGCTGGGGTCCCGCGTGACGGCCTCGTGCAGCGCGTACGAGGCGTTGGCGTCGTCGTCCTCGCCCTGGTGGATCCAAACCTGCCTCGCAAAAAGCGGTCCCAGACCCAAGGAAAACACCGTCGGCGTCCGCGAGACGTCGACGTTCTTCGGCACGGCGCCGTACAACGTCCGGAGGATCGCCTGCGCCACGGCCAGGTCCCCGCCCGTGGCGCCGTTCTCCTCGGGGGCCTGGATGGGGAATCCGGCGAGCGCCTCGAGCGGGTTGCTCTCCCGCACGCTCTTGGGCAGCTTCATCAGCAGGGCGCCGTCGCGGTTCGAGCCTCCGCAAAAGGTGACGGTCCGCAGGTGCGGGACAGTGCGGATAAAGGCCTCGACGACTTCGATGATGGCCGGGAACTGCTGCCTCCTGCGCTTCGACATGCCGTAGATTTTCCCCTCGTGCTCGCGGTTGACGCGCCGCATCTTGTCCGTCTGCTTGAAGAAGTCGCCCGTCACGGTGTAGGTGCCCACCGACGGGATCGGGTACGGCTGGATCGGGTCGTTGTGCTGCAGCATGCACCCGTAGCCCCTGAAGCCGCCGCCGCAGAGGTACGCGTCGATGCCCCCGGGTACCCCGATGCTGCCGTTCGTCGTGGTGGTGGTGGCGGAGGAGGAAGAGTTGGCGGCGGCAGCAGCCTCGGCGTGTTGTGCCTTTGCTTGCGCGAGCGCGGGGAACTTGTCGCACAGCTTCGCAAAGGCGCCCTGCATGCTCGCGTTGAGCTTCTGCTTCTCCTGCGTACGCACCTCCTCCGACTGCCCCTCGAGAATACGAATCAGCCTAGCAGCGCCGAATGGCATGCTCTCACCCGCCTTGGCGGCGGCGATCTCGTAGTCGGGCAGCCGCGTGTCGACCCAGGTCATCTGCACGGAGCCCCCGCCCAGGTCGAGGAACAGCCCGCCGCGCGCGACGTCGACAAAGGCGGACCGCGATCCCATGACGGCGCCGAAGAGGGTCTCGACCTCGGGGGCCAGGACGTGGACGCCAATGTCGGCGGCCTGGCGGATGGCGGTCAGCATGTCGCGGGCGTTGGCGGCGCGGCGCATGGCCTCGGTGGCCAGGACGGAGAAGTGGGCCGGGGGGACGCCATAGGAGACGGCGATGCGGCGAAAACGGGCGAGGGTCTTTGCAACCTGGGTGATTGTCTCGGGGGGAAAAGTAAGAGGTTCGGAGGCGGCGGTGGAGGCGGAGTTGAGGGCGTCGAAGAGGGAGATGCCGGCGCGCTCGCGGTAGATGGGCCGGAGGAGGCGAGTCTGGGGCGGAGTGAGGTCCGAGATGGAGAAGCGGATGCCGTTGCTGTAGCGGGGCCGGGGCTCGGGTCAGTTTCGAGGCCAGCTTTGTTTTTAAGGTATTGTAGTTTCAAAACAGCGGGAACTAAAAGCATATCCGGCTGGTGTCGTCCGCGGTCGTGGTGTCAAGGCAAAGGATGTATGTGTGCTCTTTGAGAATGAGGCTTAAAAGCACAGGCACAAACAGACAGGCTTTCCCCAGGTTTTTCCTCTCAGCGAGGCGATCCTGGAGGGCGATCCGGAAGGAAGAAGAAAGAAAAAAGAAAGGATTAACAGGAATGATCTCAAGGGGGAACGGAAAAAAAAAAAAAAAAAGAAAGGGCTTTCCCAAGGTTTTTCCTACAGGGGGGGCGATCCGGGGGGGCGAGCCGGAAGAAAAAAGAAAGAAAAAAAAAAGGATTAACAGGAATGATCTAAAGGGGAAAAAAAAAAAAAAAAAAAAAAAAAACCCTTGGGTACTGACCTGCCCATATCAACAATGGCATATAGGTGATTGGAGCCTGCGGGGTCCCATCTTGGCAGCAGCTTCTCAAAGTTGTCAAGCGTAATGATGTCAGAGTTGGTAACCATGGCCGCAGCGGAGGCGCAAGCCGAATTTGGATCGGAGGGGGAGCGGCGGGGGAGGAGGGAGGGGGGAAGAGGGTAGGGTGAATTAGTAGAAGAGAAAAGAGCGGATGGTTGGTGGGTGGTATCTCTCGTCCTCAAAGTAGGCGCTGTGCAGAAGGAGGGGGGTTTCCGCGGAAGTCGGCAACCGACATTTGCCTCTTTCTCTTTTCTCTCGGGTAAAAAAAAGGTGTGTATATCCGCAGGATTCGTTTCGCTTTTCCGATTTTTCTGTCGGTGTGTGGGGGACGGAGTGGCGCGGCAGGTTTGGATTATATATGCGTCCAAGTGGCAGAGACGCGAACGGCTGGCTGCGAGACACGGAGAGGAAGAGAGAGAGACAGAGGTGGTTCGGTGTTGTCTGTTGGAATTCGGGGGAGAGTGAGAGCAGCAGGCGCGTGAGTAAGAGCGACAGTGAGTGAGTGAGTGAGTGAGTGAGTGTGAGAGAGAAGGAGAAGGGGAGAGGCGTGTATGTGAGGGGAACGACGGGGAAGGCAGCGATGTGTACTCTTCGAAAACGGAACGTGTTGCGCGTGTGGATTTATTATTGCCATGGGCAGCGGCACATCTCTTCCTCTGTTTCTCCCTCGCTCTCTCCCAGAGTGAGCGGCCCGCGGTAGAATTGCAGCCCCGGAAACCTGGAAAACCAACTGCGAGTCTGACTACCTAAATGATGCAGCTCGTGTCTCTGAGCTAACGTCCATATCATGCAGCTCAAGACAGCTAGCTACCTTACCTCAAGGTGCCAGGTAGGGCATAGGCAGTTCAAGGCGGCCACGTGAAGATGAGCAACGCAAGGGGGGAAAATTCCAGAAAGCAACTCACTGGCCTCGCAGAAGCAAAAGTAGTAGCATAGCAGAAGCCAAAAAA